TTATGGTTGGTTTATAAAAAAGTATTAGTCCTAACTTAGTCTTAGTATTAACCTTAATCTTAGTCCTAATAAGTTAAATGTACAGAATGTAATGTATCGGTTTATAAAAATCCCTAGTCGTAAGGAGGTCTTAAGACATGACCTTGAAAGTTCGCATCTTTTAATTTTTCTAGGATTAAGACTAAGATCTGAGAAGTGCGCATGCACAAGTATTGCATTTCGTAGCATAGTGACCTCCTGTCTTTGTCTATGGTGGTCGCCAATACGCCATTACCATAGTAATAGGTTATATTTTTCTTTTCACTCACCAACAAAACAAATAAAATAACATTACCACAGAATAATAAACAAGTATTATGCTGTGATATTACTAGCCATGCGCGTAGTCGAATCGCTCATTGGTTAATCTTAATAAAATTAGGACCACACATTGTTTTTATAAACGTGTACCTATTCTTAGGACTAATACTAAGATTAGTGTAAAGGTTAATACTAAGACTAAGACTAAGTTAGGACTAATACTTTTTTATAAACCAACCATTAGCCGGGTAGACTGTAATGCCCACATCGAATCGTGACAAACCAACTATAGACCATAGATATAGTACTAGATATTAGATCTGCTAAGCAAACATATAGTAGAACAACCTAGCGCCCTCATTGCTGTCTGGCATGAACTAAAAATGAAACAGGCGGACAAGGTTTTTTTTCTCATTTCACTACCTACTTTCCTACATTATTTATTGAAANGCGATTGAGAGAATTTGCAAAAAAATGATTTCCATTCCTCCCTCTTCAATGGGTCCCTGTGCCCTTAGGAAGCGTTTCCGGACCCATGCTCATATGAATTTTTTTACTTAGTTTTGATCATAGAATCGGCCTGTTCAGGGTTGGCAGCTAATTATGAGACACCCTGTATAAAATATACAAATTTATGTTCATTTTTACATATGTATAATAAATACAATTTTTTAGCTGACAAATTTTGGAAGATATGTAGTTTCAATAAAAGTTATTTAATTATTTGAAAAATAGTAGTATAAACGATAAAAATATTTGAAGAGATTTGAAAAAACATATTGTAGTAAAATCATTAACCATTCAGTTTTAAATAAATATACTGTAAGTATATAGTTATGTATTTTTAAATATCCACTGTTGTCACAGAAAAATACAATTTTAATTCACAATCAATCATTACAAATAAAATACATTATTTTTTATTATATTTAATATTACCAATAATACACACATCTGAATAAATGCATTGATTTTAAATACAAAACCTTATTTTCTGCTATCACGTCAACTGCATTAAAACATTTTTTTATCTCTTCCATTTAACTTCATAACATTGAAATTTTAACCCATTACCATTTATGATGGATTTACAATACATTATATTTGAGGGATTTCTTATTTCTCACAACACTCAAAAATCCGCAGTATTTTTATTTACAAAAAAAATATTTTTCTGTTTAACTTCACAATTAATGTTTTACTTATTCAGCAAGACCCCCCTGAATGTTCAATTTCCAGCATTGTTTAAAGAATCCAGCATTGTTTAAGGAACAGCATCTAAAAGAAACATTTTTCTGTAATTGTATTCTAAGACAACATTTGTTTATTTGTATACATACATTTCAGCTTTGATTCCATCAGTTTTTACTAATATTTTAATTACACATCAACTACAAATTTCCATATTATTTTATAAATCAAACACTCCAAAATAGATCAATTTTGCTGCCAAATATAAATTAAAATTACTGACAACAGTGACAACTGAGCCACAAAATATTTTTTATCATGATATAAAAGATTTGAGGTTATGGTTGGTTTATAAAAAAGTATTAGTCCTAACTTAGCCGTAACTTAACCTTAATCTTAGTCCTAAAAAGTTAAATGTACAGAATGTAATGTACCGGTTTATAAAAATCCCTAGTCGTAAGGAGGTCTTAAGACATGACCTTGAAAGCTCTCATCTTTTAATTTTTCTAGGATAAGACTAAGATCTGAGAAGTGCGCATGCACAAGTATTGCATTTCGTAGCATAGTGGCCTCCTGTCTTTGTTTATGGTGGTCGCCAATACGCCATTACCATAGTAATAGGTTATATTTTTCTTTTCACTCACCAACAAAACAAATAAAATAACATTACCACAGAATAATAAACAAGTATTATGCTGTGATATTACTAGCCATGCGCGTAGTCGAATCGCTCATTGGTTAATCTTAATAAAATTAGGACCACACATTGTTTTTATAAACGTGTACCTATTCTTAGGACTAATACTAAGATTAGTGTAAAGGTTAATACTAAGACTAAGACTAAGTTAGGACTAATACTTTTTTATAAACCAACCATTAGCCGGGTAGACTGTAATGCCCACATCGAATCGTGACAAACCAACTATAGACCATAGATATAGTACTAGATATTAGATCTGCTAAGCAAACATATAGTAGAACAACCTAGCGCCCTCATTGCTGTCTGGCATGAACTAAAAATGAAACAGGCGGACAAGGTTTTTTTTCTCATTTCACTACCTACTTTCCTACAATATTTATTGAAATCTCTTGATGAAAATTTATATAGTTACTAACCAGACGCTTTCTTTGAAAATCCATATACTGGATGTTCTACATAAAATGACCCAGGTCAGAATTATCGGTCCAGAGGCTTCTGTATATTTCAGAAATTTATTGATGGCGATATTTTTATGAAAAATCTTATATTGTAGAACTCAGAAGCATTTTGCAAATTTATATATTGAGTGTTTCATATAAAAATTAACCAGGCGGACTAGGATTTTTTCTCATTTCACTACCCACTTTCCTACATTATTTATAGAAATTTCTTGATGAAAATTTATATAGTTACTAATCAGACGTTTTCTTTGAAAATCCATATACCTACTGGATGTTCTACATAAATTGACCCAGGTCAGAATTATCGGGCCAGAGGCTTCTGTATATTTTAGAAATTTATTGATGGCAATATTTTTATGACAAATCATATCTTATTAACCAGATGTTTTGTACTGGATGTTTCATAAAGCTGACACAGATGGACTAGGCTTTCTATTCTTTTTACTTTTTTACTTTCTCCACTGAAACGTTTTGAAGAAAACTGACCATTCGCTGTTTGAAAAATCCATATACTGAATGTTCTATAAAATTGAGCCAGGTCTGATTAACAGGCAAAATTTTCCTTTCTCTTTTAACTCTATTTTTACTTACTAAAGGCTTTGATGAAAAATTGTATAATTACCAACCAGAAACCTTTTTGGAAGTTTATACTGGATGTTCCAAAAAATGATCCACTTCAAAATTATGAGCAAGTGAAACTTATTTTTTTTCCCATTTCTGCCTTACTTACGTACTGAAATCTTTGAATGAAACATTGTCTATTTATAACAAGATACTTCAGAATTAGGAGAGTGAAACTTAACTTATTTTCCCCCATTCTGACTTACCTACGTACTGAAGTCTTTGGATGAAAAATTTTATATTTACTAACTAGATACCCTTTTGGAAGGTCATACTGGATGTACAAAATGATCTACATCAGAATTGAAACCAAAACAAAAAGGCGGCAGACCAGATATTTTACCCTTTTTACCTTTTTCTACTTTCTTTAGTAAAGTTCATTGATGAAAAATTTTGCATTTACCAACACGATGCTTTTTTGCTAATTTTTATACCGAATGTTCCAACAAAATTGATCCAGGTCAGAGATGCAAGTGTTCAAACGTATTCATATTCTTTTTATTTCATTCTACTTTATTTTTTGAGGTAACTATTTTATAATATGTTTTTTGAAGCTTTACAATATACTGCATGTTCTATAAAATTGATCCAAGACAGACCCCGTGGATAATTCCTTATCATATTAATTTCTTCTACTTTATTTAGTGAAGCCTATTCATGAAAAGCTTTTATTTACAAACCAGATGCCATTTTAAAACTTGCTACACAAAATCGACCCACATTTGAATGGCAATAATAATGTAGATGGTGGTGTAGATGATGTAAATAATGGTAATGTAAATGATGGCGATGTAGATGATGGTGACGTAGATGATGGTGGCGTAGATGATGACAATGTAGATGATGGTGACGTAGATGATGGTGGCGTAGATGATGGCAATGTAGATGATGTCGTGGTAGATGATGGTGGTGTAGATGATGGTGACGTACATGATGGAGATATAGATGTTGCTGTAGTAGATGATGTTAATGTAGATAATGGCGATGTAATTGATGGTCAGGTAGATGACGGTGATGTAGATTATGGTGATGTGGATGGTGGCGATGTAAATGATGGTCATGGCCATGTAGATGTAGATGATGTAGATGTTGGTGACGTAGATGATGTAGATGATGGCGATATAGATGTAGATGATGATGGTGTGCTGTAAATTATGGTGATGTAGATGATGACGCTGTAGATGATGGCGATGTAGATGATGGTGGTGTAGATGATGGCGATGTAGATGATGGTGATGTACATCATGGATGGCGATATAGATGACAGTGATGTAGATGATGACGATGTAGATGTTGATGCTGGAGATGTAGATGATGGTGATGTAGATAATAGCGATGTTGATTATGGTGATGTTGATGATGACGATGTAAATGATGGTAATGTAGATGACGGTGCTGTAGATGATGGTGCTGCAATTATGGTGATGTAGATGATACTGATGTAGATGAAAGCGATGTAGATGATGGCGATGTAGATGATAGTGCTGAAGATTATGTTATGTAGAAATAATGGTAATGTAAATGATGGCGATGTAGATGATGGTCACGTAGATGATGGTGGCGTAGATGATGACAATGTAGATGATGGTGACGTAGATGATGGTGGCGTAGTTGATGGCAATGTAGATGATGGCGGTGTAGATGATGGTGGTGTAGATGATGGTGATGTACATGATGGTGATATAGATGTTGCTTTAGTAGATGATGGTAATGTAGATAATGGCGATGTAATTGATGGTCAGGTAGATGACGGTGATGTAGATTATGGTGATGTGGATGGTTTGCGATGTAAATGATGGTGATGTATATGGTGGTGATGAAGATGATGCCGATGTATTTGGTGATGTAGATGATGGCGAAGTAGATGATGTAGATGCTGGCGATGTAGATGATGGTTATGTAGACCATGGCCATGTAGATGTAGATGATGTAGATGATGTAGATGATGGTGCTGTGGATGATGGTGACGTAGATGATGTAAGTGATGGCGATATAGATGTAGATGATGGTGATGTAGATAATGGTGCTGTAAATTATGGTGATGTAGATGATTACGCTGTAGATGATGGCGATGTAGATGATGGTGATGTACATCATGGCGATATAGATGACAGTGATGTAGATGATGATGTAGATGTTGATGATGGAGATGTAGATGACGGTGATAAAGATAATAGCGATGTAGATTATGGTGATGTTGATGATGACGATGTAAATGATGGTAATGTAGATGACAGTGCTGTAGATGGCGATATAGATGTAGATGATGGTGATGTAGATAATGGTGCTGCAATTATGGTGATGTAGATGATAGCGATGTAGATGATAGCGATATAGATGATGGCGATGTAGGTGATAGTGCTGAAGATTATGTTATGTAGATGGTAATGTAGTTGATGGCGATGTGGATGGTAGTGATGTAGATGATGGTGATGTAGATGATGGTGATGTAGTTGATGGTGATGTAGATGATGGTGATGTAGATGATGGTGATGTAGTTGATGGCGATGTGGATGGTAGTGATGTAGATGATGGTGATGTAGATGATGGTGATGTAGTTGATGGTGATGTAGATGATGGTGATGTAGATGATGGTGATGTAGATGATGGTGATGTAGATGATGGTGATGTAGATGTTGGTGATGTAGATGATTGTGATGTAGATGATGGTAATGAGGATGATGGTGTGATGATTTAAAAAACATTCGCGCTAGAGAGAGCTCCGCAAAGCGGAGCTCATGAGGCGCGCAGCGCCGCCCGAGGGCCGAAGGCCCGAGAGAAACGTCTAGTCGGCGAAGCCGACTTGCCTACGTTTCTAGTCATACATATTAAAGCGCGTAAGTTACTCTCGCTCGCACGCCCGCCCCCGAAAAAGGGCCACGTTCCATTGGCAAAGGCTCCCTCGGCGAGCCACGCAGCGGCGAACATCGGGTCGCGAAGCTACCCGCGGTCCTGGCTCCGTTGTTTAGGGGTGTTCCGGTGCGGGCTTTTCCGCGTTTTCCACGCGAATTTCCCTGTTCCAGGTCGTCTGCGCGACCGACCGCGGCTTTTAGCGGGGAAGTTAGACGGAAATACTGGGGAACGCCTTTCATCGGAAGGGTTTCGGGGTCGATTTCTCCGACCGAGGGCTTTTTTTCCGGGAGGGATCGGGACTTGCTTCCGCTTTTACGCGAAAGTTTCGTCCTTTCTGAGGGTCACGGGCGTATTTTTGAGGCGTATTTTTTACTTTTTAACGCCGAAATTAGCTCTTCAAAACGGGTCCACATCTCGCGTCTCTCTCTCGAGAGCCCGATTATTTTATAAAGCCCGTTTTCGCGACAGCGTAATTTTTTCCCTCGCTCTATCGCCCACCGCTTTCTGCGTGAGAACGAAGCCCTGGCCTTTCTCTCGACGTACGGACCGCATCCGAGGACTGAGGAAGTCCCGGTTGGCCCCCCGCGACGCCTTTCCGGCGACGCGTTGCGACGATCTCTCTCTTCTATATCTCCATCAACTTTTTTAGGTCGAACGTAACAAAATTTAAGACCGGCATTAGCGATATAAAATTTGTGCGTTCAGCCATGGGCGTATCTTCGCAGCGGGGACGGTGAGAACCTACTTTTCCCGGCTTTTACGAGAAATTCGTGCAGCTCCCCTGTCCAATTATGTATGGACGACATTCCCATACCTCGAGCTTTCCGAAAAAAATTATATTCGCCCCCCACAACAGTTCCAACAGGTTCTAAGTGATCCTATTGAACCCTTAAAATTAAAAGTTCACAAGTCTCTGAACCGCTGTCAGACTGTCAGTTTAATGTCACAAGATGGCCGCCATTCCGTTCGTCCTAGGAAAATTGAAAATTTTCAACTTTCGTGCGGCGATTTGTGTAAAAGAAACTAAAGTGGGACGATTTCTATTGTTTCCGATGTGTCGCTGAACCTGTCGCAGGTTTTTTTCCACAAAAGGAAAATTACGTTTAACAGGCGTTCCCATGAGGTACGTGGCCCCACGTTTGCTTTGTGACCTGGATTGTCGGTTAAATACATTCTTCCAACTTATGGACCGGTAAAAACACTACAAGTTTTAACAGAGCCTTTACCCATTCCTTTAAAAAAATAATAACCCCTGAACTACAAATCTGCGATATGTCTAAACAAACAAACCTAACCTTGAACATTTATCTCTACGTTTTCGATCACTGACGATTGTCGAATCGACCCCCATCTGTCAAGTCCTGTCATCTGTCGAGTAAAATAAACCTGTGTATTGAGAAAAACCACTTCCAAATTTGCTCAGAATATAAATAAGTATCTGCTCCGAGATGACTTGCAAAAACCCTTTCTGCAGGTATAGTATATATTTTTTTTTTACCCTGCCATTGGTAGAATCTAACATAAATTTTACCTTTCCAGTTACAACTATGCAGTGTGGAAGTTTTGTGTTTTACAAGAATCCACCACTACATTACCTACACTTCTACCGAGGAACCCAGGAAGCCACCAGTTAAAGTGATTAAAGGACAAGTGATTTTCGCGAGTGCAGGTTATAAAATTGTGAAATGTTCCTTGAGGTTAAAGATTTCATTGATACGGGACCTGTCTCAAAAACTTAGTCTTTTTTTGTTCAAGTTGTTTATTTTTCACAACAGGGATATGTGATTATTATTTAACCATTCTCGCCTTCCATATAGTAGCTTCAACTGCACTAATTCTAAGAAAACTATGGCAAATAAAGTTATTTCAAACTACATTACATTAATTTAATTTTTTCACTTTGTTCACTTGGGTACATAACGTAAAACAAGTTAAAAGGTTATTAAAACAAATTGAGAAAATGTCTGCTTTGGAAAATTCCTCAATAAATTTTGGTCCCCCAGGGAGCCACCAGTTAAAGTGATTAAAGAACAAGTGATTTTCGCGTGTGCAGGTTAAAAAATTGTGAAATGTTCCCTGAGGTCAAAGACTTCATTGATATGGGACCTATCTCAAAAACTTAGTCTTTTTTTGTTCAAGTTGTTTATTTTTCACAGCAGGGATATGTGATTATTATTTAACCATTCTCGCCTTCCATGTAGTAACTACACTAATTCTAAGAAAACTATGGCACATAAAGTTATTTCAAACTACATTACATTAATTTCATTTTATAACAAAAATTGTTCAGTTAGGTACATACGTAAAACAAGTTAAAAAGTTATTAAAACAAATCGAGAAAATACCTGCTTTGGAAAATTCTTCCAAAAATTTTGATCGATTTAAATAAAACATCTTTGTTGATCTTCCACTATACGTTACATATATAATGTGACATTATATGTAGTTACACTCCCAGCATATTATATAAAATATACAAATGTATGTTCATTTTTACATATGTACAGGGTTCCCCATATTAGACTATGCAGTTTAAAAGTCGAATAAAAACTTTCTGATCAAAGTAAATTAACTTTTTAATGGACTGACATGTAGCTAATTTTATGGTATTTATGACTGAAATAAATAATAATTCAATTTTTAAAGATCATATCTTCCAAATGCCCTCCTTCGACTTCAATGCAATTTTGAATTCTAAGTTTAAAATTTCGCATTACTCGACGAAGCAAATCAAACCAATATTACCAAATGATGCTACACCATTAGGATCACATTTTAACAAGTAGGCGCCTGTCTCTAAGCAACGACAAAAGTAAACACTTCATTGTTTTAGTCACAAATGTCACAACTTAATTTAATTTTCATTTTTTAACAATTTTCATTGCGTTATGAATTATTCAATTCAAGAGCGTGTGTTTTCCGTGGAAGTCTACATTAGAACTGGTTCAGTGGAAGAAGTTCGGCGTGCATTTCGACGGCAGTTTGGAAATAATAATAGGGGCGATGCACCAACACGCGTTACAATTTCGGCATGGGTTCGTCATTGGCGTGAAAATGGCTCTGTGCAAAACATTAAAAAACCTGGACGTCGAAGAACGGTGCGTACGCCTGCAAATATTGAACGAGTGAGAGCTGCCTTCACAAGAAGCCCTAAGAGATCTGCTAATCGGCAATCACTTGCCCTAGGAATATCCAAGGGAAGTCTCCACAGAATTCTGCATAAAGATTTAAAATTTCACCCCTATAAATACCAAATGGCGCATCACCTCAGTGATACAGATAAAGAAGCGAGGTTGACATTTTGTCAAGAATTTTTAAATCAGCACCATGGAGGAATACATAATTTGCTAATGAGCGACGAAGCAAATTTTCATTTGGACGGTGTTGTTAACAAGCAAAACTTTAGGTACTGGGGAGCAGAAAATCCTCACGAACTGTTTACCAAAAACCTCCACAGTCTAAAAGTCGTTGTGTGGTGT